AGGTCAATGAAATAATATTTGGACTTTTGGAGTTTTTTAATTGAAAGCCTAGTGGATTGTTCATTAAGCCAACGGTCCACATGAGCTGATAATAAATGAAGTGGTCTTATAGTTTGCAAAATTCCAGATGATTATTTACGAAATTATATAATTAAAAGTTTGTTCTCATTGAAAATTACTTCAATTTAATGTCGATTTCAAGATGAATTAGTGAATAACATATAACTAATTAAAGTAGTATTACAGATAAATTTAATGATTGATTTGAAGCAATGTATATTGACAATTGCATTTCACAACTGTTACTTCTGCCAAATCTAATTATTGATATTTAATTTGCTTATTGTTCACAACATACAACAGGTGTTTAATACGCAATATATATGTATATATATATATATATATATATGGGATAAAACGAAAAACCAGTTTTGAAATCCCTTTTTCCACTTCTGACAGTGATTGAACTTTTTATTGCTTGTGAGTACTTCCCACACCCTGGTTTTGCGAAGTTTTTGTTTTCGGTTTCTCTTGTTGTTTTGTCTATCTGTTTTCTTTCTTCCTCCTTTTCTTCTTAACAGGAATATTTTAGGATTTTTGAAATTTGATTCTTCAACAATTGTAATTCTTATATGCATAGTCAGAACTGACTGATGTTATTTATCAAAATATATGGTAGGCTGGTAATGAGAGGCGAATACGGCATTAAATTGACTCTGTTCTTATACATCACATGACCGTCATCCATAATCACTTCTAATGCAAACTGATTTGATAAGTTTTTATTATTTACAAGAAAGAAAATGCAATCTTACTGTAAGACTATTTTATTGACATCTCTGTTATTAGAACAATGTATATGAGCGAATAATATTGTTTTCGATTAGATCCTCATCAGGCTGTACTCTAATATACAGTAGTATTTGTATGCATATACGAAGTTATTAAATCAATCAAGGCAGTTTGTGATTCAGTGATGATAGTGGAATAGATTACATAAATAAACATAAATAAAAATTACAAATTGATAGTGTAATGACTTGTGTACTAGTTGTGGTAAGAATAATAAAGGCTTGTATCCATGTTTCATAGTGGGAATTAGGTCAAAAAATATAGATGCTGAGATAACATTCATAAAAACTATAATGTTATGTAATAAGAGCTGTTCAGATAATTGGACAATGAAGCGTATATTTGGGGGGAAAATAGGTGGGAGGGGTTGGAGAAAAATAAACGAAGAGTATGGAAAATAATAATAAATAAAATCATTTATTAAGGCCAAGGAAGAGATAAAGGTGTTACATTTCTTGTGAATGCAAAGACTTGGACTGTTAGCTGGAATCCCTGAAGCTTCTTCTATGTGTAAGAGACGAAATCGAACCACAAATCACTTTAAATGATCTATTTCTGTTTACTACATGACTGCTATCGATCAAGTGTGGTAGAATAGAGCTACGTTTTGTTTTGACGGTATCGTTTGTTAACAACGAAGGGAGTAAGGCGTTTCTTCCATATTTCGCGCCTTTTTTCTCGTGTTCAAGTTGCTGTGTAGATTTAGCCTGGGGGTTACTAGAAGAGCTTAGGAACCGAATCTAGCGTTCAATTAGAGGACTTATCAATGCCTTTCTCCATAGGAGCAGCTGAATTCGTAGATACACATAGATGTGGCAAAGTGAAATAGTAGTATGGTATAAATAAATGAATAAATAATAATATATTAAATTTTCTACTCATTGGGATATTACAAATATATTATTTATTTATTACAATCTACCCAGTGCTGAATTTATTCGAAATTATCAAATCGAACCTTGATAATGATACATAGTAGCATGGTAGTTCTTGAAATATTCAGTCGTGTTTATTGTTTTTATTTTTGTTTAACTATAAATCCTTTGAACTTTATCCAATTGTAGTGTTCTGAATTTATATGTGTATCATACTAATATCTTTAGAGTAAACGTCTCCCGGTTTCGTTAACATATGGTAATACTTATTGGTGTGTATTAACGGCACCCAATAGTGTTGAATAGCAGTCCACTGCTTAGGTAAACACTAGATACCGCAGGTATCATTACCAAGTTTTGAATTGTTAATTTCGAATAAATTGAGCATTAGGAAGATTGTTATAAATAAATTAATTTATTTGTAATATTCTAATGAGTAGAAAAATTAGATTTTTTACTCATTGGGATATTACAAGTATTTTAATTTATTTACTAGATGTTACGGTTTATAATCGTGGTTATCATCTGTGTGACTTGTAATAACTTTCATAGTAAGACTGAACTAATGATGAGCTTGTAGGATACTGAATAGATACTTTGTTATCTGAAACTTGACCAATGAATCCTAGTGTTATAATCTTTTCTTACGGTTATGACCCAGCTATTCCTATTGCTTAGTATTCTCGGACACCGATTCACTCGACAAGTCCCCAAATCAGAACACGGTTGAACAGGAAAGAGATTATATTCCGAATAACAAGGTTAGATGGAAGTAAGATGCCAGTAAGAAGCACAATAGGGAAAAACGTCAGTATATTTATAGTTTTTTACATGAGAAGATTCTAGAGTATTCTCCAACTATCGACTAGTGCTGATTGGATAAGAATTAGCCAATCAGCGTGTACCAAAGCAATCATGCATTGAGCATGCTTTAATCCAGTTTATGTCCCGCTAACACCTAGTTATTGGTGTCACCCTCTTTAATTATTCATGATATATAGTAGCACTATTTTGTTATGTCAATCTTGCCTCTGAATACAATCTCTGTAAATACTCAGTTCAATCTATAAAGTATCTACTTCAATAATTAAAAGTTGTTTTTAATATTTCGTATGTTCTAGATTTAACAAATTTATTCAAAACAAAATTAATTGTTTGGTTTTTTCCTAATTCTGTTTTCATATTTTATTAATACTGCTAAAACTTTTTCAAATACATGATATCGACTTTTAATAAACTTTCAATCAAATATCTTCAAATATGTAACCTTAAACATAGGAAACCATTATTTTATTGTATGTATTCTGTTAAGAGCCAAGATTAAAATACAATATGATGTTTGTTTATAATCCAAAAATTGATGTAAGAACGTCATTCATGTAACTCAATGCTTGTTTTCAACTGAAAATCTGTGATTGATCAATATAACATGAATTTTTTTAAAGTTTTCATCATTCGTTGATAATAGATAGTCACGTTTGAAATAACATTACATATTAAGATTTTGTACCATCTCTATTAACTAAATCTGATAAGTTGATGATATTAGAATTGTATCCTTAAAAGCTTTTCATCAGGAAGAAGTAAATCATCATTGAGAGGTTTTGCACAACTAGTTCTTCCATAGTGTACAGAAAAATGTAAAATGTAAGTTTTTGTTAACACCAAAGAATGTGATAAATCAGTGAATTTTTATTGGAAAACGTTTTTTTTGAAGATTAATAATTATTAAGTTTGCCGTTAGTTGGGCAGATTTAATCCGGGCATTTTAAGGATTTTATACACTGTCATTTTAATTCTTCAAGTGAAATTAACAATGAACACGAAAATGTATGAGGAACATTTACAATCTCTAGAATATTTTTTTAAAATTTTAAAGTGTTATTCGAACTTTGGTATCATTCCTATTACTGCGTCAATTATAATAGGTGGTGTGGGAAAGACAGTTTACTGCATGTATGGACTTTTCTTCATTTATTTCTAACAACTATTTATATGGCGTTTAAATGGACAGTGCTATACTTAACATTTATATATTTTATAACGTAGATGATAATTGATATCTACTACACTCAGTGTGCACCACAATGGTAATCAATTTAGTTTGTAGTATGCATACCGAAGTCTCATCACTTTTCAGCTGATCAAAAACGAACAGGATATTTATATCAATACATTGTTGTCAACCGAAAATTCTTACAACGAACGTTTTTATTCACTCTCTGTGATGTGCATTTTAAATGGTATGCAAAAGTTTGAAGTGATTATGCTAATATACAGTTGACAGATTCGTCGTGGGAAAGTGGATAGTTTATATATGAAAGACAGTAATCTTCACTATTGCTTACCCACTGTAGATTCTCTTAATATGTGATTCCTGGGGTTATAAATGGAGTTGTGGTGAAATTTGGTATAGATCAGTTAATGAAGTTGTGTACTTGAATAATCAAATACATTGACTCATCATATGATGTGCATACATGCTTTAAAAATGGTTGATAATATTTAGACTTTGGTTGAAACAAATTACAAACTTTTCAGATCAAAATTTATGGTACTAGCATTTAAAATAACAAGATCATATTGAGGAACTAGAAATAATTGTTTACTGAATTCATATGGATTATTAAAAATAATGTACTCACTATTGTTCTGTTTTTAGATGAGTCAATTTTGATTGATACGCTTATGTCACTCCAAGTTGTTACAAATTTTTTAGGTATCTTTTGGCCGGCTTTATACAAACTCTCAACAAGCACCTATCAATTTATATATGTTTGACAATAGTTATATTCTCTGTCCATTCTGTGAAACACTATATTCGCCTAAGTAATTCATGAATTTCTTATTAGTTTCAATCTACATAGATTAGTTTCAAATAAATTGAACATCGAGTAGAAAGTTATTAATTAATACACTCTTTGTCATATTTCAATGAGTAGGAAATTTTATTTCGCATGTTTTGTAACTTAATGTAAGAAACTTCTTCAGAGTGACTTACATTGATTCACGAAACGTCAGAAATACAATTTTCTACTCATTTGGATATCATAAAAGTATATTTATTACTACACAGATTAGATTTTTCTAGTATACTGGTTTTGAAATTAGAGCGTCCGATGGTATCTTCCGTGCATATCCGATCGGTAATGAGTACATTAGCCTTCTAGATATATGTAGTGTTTAAGACACTTCTATACAAATTTCAAGATTTCACTCTTGGTTCTAGTTTTCGAAAATTTTTTATTGTGCTTTATGTTTATTCACTTGTAGGATTTATCTTTACTGGCCAAAGAAGTACATCGTTTACGTGATCAAATTTCTGAACGAGAAGAAGAAATTGTTGAGTTGAAATCGGAAAGAAATAATACAAGGGTATGTTGTTTCTCAAATTTATTTAGTTGTATTTTTATATTTTCATCAGCTTAAACTTAATCTATTAAATTTAACTTCTAGCTAGTGATTGTTGATGATGAGTGATGTAGATGCGTTCACTCCCTATCTTCCTTTAAGTCCTAGGTTTTAAACTTGTCCCATACTTTTTCAGCGAATTCATTCTTTTCGAATCATATTGTTTTCGTTTAATTCTTTCTCACAAAACTGATATTGTCACTAACTCTATGGTGTGCGCTACTTATATGGACATAAGTAGTATATAATGTTAGTCGTGAATAGAAGGTCTGGTCACAGAGAGATAAGAGGATCGAACAGTAAAGAATGGAAACAAAATGCAATTTCCATGAAAATCCAAGAACAATGAAGTCTGAGTCATTTTGAGACAATTGATGGACATTTTGCAAATTAAGCATTTACTATATGATTGTTAGATTTTATTAACAAGTCCAGTAATTTTGTGTTAAATACATCCGATTGTCTACACCCGTGTTCTGTTCACTACAGCTCTACTATTCTTGGATTAATCCTGATAGTTTCAGTGGCTCTTTTCTAGCATAAGAACTTGGAAAGATCCAGATATGCACCAGGTTCTACGCCGCTTAAGACTTATCAAACTTCTAACCACATTATAACTGTATGAGCTACTTTCTGGAACATACATTTTAGAGGAAAGATACTTAAAATTTTCGAGTAATCTGGGCATCTATGGATTAGCAAACGATTGTCGTGGTTTCAGGTGAAAGTTTGTTTGACAGCAAAGCAAACAATCAATCGTTTCTCACTCACACGCACATTCACGTGCAACACTAAAAAGTGTAAAGCAGAATAAAATCTTAATGCTATATATCCTAAATGATCGAATGCACCTGACTGATATACTGTGTCTGATTGTTACACTGACCTGTTGTTTTTCCAGACTCCTCCAGCGATCAATTTTCAAAATTTTATGTGTATAATATTTAATCATATTTTCAAATCATAATTATTAAAATTTTTGACACTTATATATGTGTAAACCTTCTTTAAAAATTAATTTCAGTTACTCTCAGATTCATTGCTTCATACTCATGTGTTACATTTAAGCATTAGGAGTAAAAACAAGAAACCATATATCTTAATTTTCCACTGATTTTACCAGTTCACTGAACTTTATGAATGTGTAAAATAACCAATCTTCATCTGAAAGATAACTAGTATCTCTCTAAAAAGAATGTTATCATTACCAATTGTTTGTTAATACTATTTTTGTATGAGATCATTGAACAAACTGTAACTCGATTAAGGTAGTGTGTGTTTAATTTCATTTAAATTCAATTTATGAATAGTGTAAAATTGTATGTTATGGAGAAGTAGATAAATGATAATGATGATCATGAGAACAAGACAACAAAGTCGATAAACTGTTTGGTTATTTTTATTGTGTTAAATAAATAATCCAGTTTGTCGTTTTATTGTTAATAACAACTTCTTAGGTGGTAGATCACTTTCTTAAATTTTTGTATGGTGAATGAATTTTGCTACTTTTAATATAAGATGAATCTTTAAATCATATTTATTTTATTATTTTAAGGAGTTTTTGGAGACTTTTAGGTTTTTAAAGTCTATATCACGGAATGATCTTAGTTAGGCAGCTACTGAAAACCAGAGAGCAATGAATAACGTTTGTCCTAATCTGGGACTCCTCACTAGCACACATACATATTTCTACTTTGGATCGAACTCTGGACGTTTGAATTTCCTGTTGAGCTCTTTAGATCATTGAGTCAGGGTTTAATAGTTTGTATATTTGGTTTAAATTAATTCACCAACTCACTGGTATGGATGTTAGGCTCATGCAATACAGGCTGCAAGTTCTGGACTTAATAGTTTGTGAGATGGTCTTATGTGTTGAGGATTTCTGTACTTGTATAAAACAACTCTACAGTGCTTCTTGGTTTTTAATGGTTGTTTAACTAAGGTGGATTTATCATATTGTAATGTATAAAATACTTTAATCAAATATGTGCTATTCCTTATTTTATTGACAAAATAAAATCTCTTTCCTTTTTTATTGTTGTTTTTTAATTGATTTATCTCAGCTTCTTTTAGAACATTTAGAATGTTTAGTTGCTAGACATGAACGTTCATTAAGAATGACAGTTGTAAAACGACAAGTAAATAGTCCTGGTGGTGTTAGTTCTGAAGTCGAAGTATTAAAAGCATTAAAATCATTATTTGAACATCATAAAGCATTAGATGAACGTGTACGTGAACGTTTACGTACAGCATTAGAACGTGGTGCACAACTAGAAGAAGAAGTGCGTTCATCTGCTGCTGATCGTGCTGCATTAAGAGAACAATTAGCTGCAGCATTAGCTGGTGTAGCTGCTGCTGCAACAGCAGTTCAACAAAGACAACAACAACAAATTGTATCAACTGTGAATGGGAATGGGAATGGTAAGTTTTATTCTTAAAAATATTTAATTTTGGCTCATTATCATTGTTTATTTCTTTCCATCATTATTCCTTTATTCATTATTAGAAGTTGAATATTTCCATTTTGAGTACCTGAGTAATTATCATTTAGGCATTTGTTTTCTGTTATGAAATAAAAATGTTACTTATAAACTTTTTACCTTCTAACTTAATCTACTATAAATAAGACATGCCCATGATAGGAAGATAAACTTAAAGTCCTGAGAGGTAAATGAATTAGTGAAAATTGTTATAATTTGAATTAACGGAGTGAAAAATAAAATTAAGTAGTAATGCTGTTAGTAGTGTAAAGTAGAAGAAGCAGTAAAGAGCAAGTTAAAAGAATCAATGACAATTGGTAATTGAAAAAAATATGCATAGTTTAGAAGGCTGATCTTTTTTTAATATCTCACTTCTACTCCTGGAGATATAACACAATGAAGTAGTTGGTGGCTTGGTGTTGTGAAGGAGTCTTTTTAACAATTGATAATACGAAATTCCTCTATTGTTATAATCAGTGAGTGGAATGTTAGTCTTTGGATGATGTGACTGAATGATGGATATTTACTAAACTGTAGTATTGAAACAAATACTTGAGTGACTAAAAATCAAGAAAACCAGAGTTCAGATGAATAGGACTTATGTGTAAAAATGTTTGTTTACAATATAAAATGTTGTAGGTAGTTGGAAAGAAGTAACATGTAGGTCACTCATTCTTCATTTTGTTCAAAACCTGACTGTTAAGCCTAATTTTCAAACATCATATCACTCAGTTGGTATAAATAATTGATATAACGGGATGAAAAGTCAAAATTAGATTGAATCGCTCATTATGATCTTTGTTCAACATTACTTCCGTTTTAATTTGATGTGATGATTACTTAATGTAGTATTTTTTTGTTTTCTGGTATAACATTCTATTCTGCAATAAATACGATATTCTTGCATTAAGTTAACATGTACTATGCTCAGCATGAGATGTAGCATATGATTTATTATAACTTCGAGTATTTTTCATATATGTGATTTCATCCTAATTATTAATCAAAATGAGTATACTTTCGACTATGGTCGTCGTTTTTGTGTTTCGGGGTTACTGGCAGAGCTTAGGAGCCGGATCTGACGTTGAAAAAGAAGACATATCAATTTCATTCTTAATTCCCATAAAATTACATTACAGTTAGTAGAGCTCAAAAAAAAGAAAAATGACAATTATTAGTGTAAACAGAATATACCCATTGAGATATCAAATAACAAAGATTGGTTCAACTAAGAATTCTCTTTGCGACGAATTTATTTTCAAAACTGTACAATCGCGAATGTCTACTTAACTTTTTTTTCGAAATGATAGTAGTAACAATTATATTCATCATAAACATGCTAATAGTAAAGTAACATAAAGAAAAGTATAAAAAACGTTATTTTTATTCAGGAAACCAATAATAATTATTGTTAGGAGCTTGAATGTTCATTATGAAGATGAATAAAGAAATTATAACTGGAAAAAATAGAAGTCTCAGCGTAATACGACGAAGTGTTGAAATTCAGATGATCTGTAATGAGGAGCATCATAGGGAAACGAAAACAAATCAGTTTGCTGCTAAAATGTTTGTAGAGAAGATAGAAAGGAAGTAGATGAATGTGACTCACTAGTTTTGCCTTTTATTAAAGTTCTAATAAATTATAACACTAATGAATGAGTCTAGTTTTTTCGTCAGTATCTACTAAAATTCATTAAATACCTATGTTGTCTAATATTAAATGTTCATAAAGTTCATATGGTTTGTAATTTCTTTTTGTCTTTAAATCAGTTGATTCTAATCATACCACACAAATCAGTAAAGATGATCTTGATGGAAATGATGTAGGCAATAAACTAGCCTCATTACCTCCAGGTGGACCACCAATCACATCAAAAGATTCAAATGATGAAAGTTCATCAGCAGTGAATTCTTCAGAAAATTCCGGTGTAAAAACAGTTGCATCCGTTGCTGCAGCTGCAGCGGCTGCTGCTGCGAGTGCTGTAGCTGTTGAACGTAAACTTGTTGAAGTCACTACAAAATCTAGAGATTTAGAAGCATCTAATACAACATTACAAAAAGAATTATCACGTGCTCATGATCAGGTAAATGTGACTTGTATTTTTTTCGTTTTGCTTGCTTGTTTGCTATACTTTTATCTTTTAGAATTTAATGTTTAGTGAAAATTTTTCACGCTTGAAGCCTGTTATAAATTGTGGCCTTTGTACCCAGTTAATATATAACGCGATACGATCGCTAATTAGAGTCACTGACTTATTGACCGGACCAATGACGCATAAACCAGTACTAGCAGCCTAGAATTCTTATTGATCCTAGTGGTTGTAGCTTCTCGCCTAACCGGCCGGTTGAATCCAGAACGCATATATCAACCTGCGTTATATCGAATAATATATGTCAAACGTACTTGGTTTAAATTCACTTGTTTTTTACTTGTATCTTCCTATTGTTATTTAGGACTGAAATTGACCAGTCTCATTTCGGCATATGTGCATCCTGGGCAGATTTCCTTGATATAACCTTAAGTCACAAGGTTTTTAAGCAAAGATGGATAGTGGCTAGTAGTGGAATCCAGGACGGGCGTTTCGTCTTATATGGGGCTCGTCAACTTGATGTTCCTGGTTTATATATAAGCAAAATCAGACCACATAACACCATAAAATAGGAAATAACATTTGTACAAGATCAAGCCAACAGTGGCTGTGATTGTGAGCAAGCGTGATTAATAGATTAAGAATAACCTGGGAATAATAAATCATAACAGTAACCAATGAGTCAAATAATAAAAGGAATATAAATATTTATAGTTTAGTTTAGTTTAAATAATGAGAATATATGTATAATATTAGTCCACACATAGTTATCTGAAGTTACCCATAACTTAATCTTCGTTAGGATATAACGAAGTCAAATTCTAAATGATGATTTACACAGTATTACTTCATTATAATTTTTTTATGACTGAATTATGTGACGATAGCTTCTAATTGTGTTTACATCTGAACTTAATAATTATTATCGTTCAAGAAGTTAATCTAAATCATCCAGTTACTTACCAACCATTTTGGATATACTTAAATTCGATTTGAATGGAGATAAATGGCTCCATGTCATAAAATCACATTAGTTGAACTCCAGCACCTGTCTCAATCTGTCTTTTATTGTTATTTACACTTTCTACAAACTAACATTATTCTGAACAGTTTAATAATTTCTGATTACTGTTTTAACAATGCTAAATTATCATTAGATGAAATATGAGCATTAACGTGAATAAGCAACAGTGCTATATATATATATATATATATTCTCTGGCCTAATATTAAACAACCTAGACTAAACTAGTTTTTAAAAATAATTATCGAAACTATCGATGAACTGTTGTTAACTTGTCAAAATATTAACTGAACTAATAATAATAATAATAATAATAATAATAATAATAATAATAATAATAATAGTAATAGTAATAATGGTAATAATAAAGCATGAAACAGCAACGATAATGAGTAAAAAGATATTTTTATGTTTATTCTCATCCCGTTAATATTTTATTTCATCCATGATGAAATTATTCAATTTAATGATGGGTATTACTTTTTGCAATGTATGAAAATTTTAATTTTAATAAGTTTGATTGAAATAAATAAATTGCATAGATAGTCACTCGTGAATCAAAATAATGGAATCATTCAAACTCTCATTTATTGATGATATAAATAGTATACTCGTTAGATAAGTTAGAGGTCATTAGAGCTTAATAGCGTCGCAGTTGATCATTTGTTTGATACGAAAGTTTCTGGGTTTGAATTTCAATGTGAGTATGAACACTGGAATATGGAAGATACATTCAGATGACGAGCTGTAAATTGAACGGAGCATGCCTCCAGGATACCCCACCATTAGTTATAATCTGTCTATTCTGTTATATAGAACTTGAAATTTTGCTATACCGCGTAAAACTTGAGCACTCGAACGCTCAAACCCTCCAAGTTGCAGGTAAAATGAGTGGGAAGGAATCTTATTCTATACAGTGTCAAATATGATACAAAGACACTCGAGTATTTATAATTTTTATTAAAAACGTCATCATCATTACAATCATCCAATCAGCATGCAGTGGTGTTTAGCATTTGTCCAATCGAGAAGGTACATGTCGTGATTATGGAATGTTATTGTAAACGATGATTGGATGAAATGTCTTCGGCTCTTTCAGAGCTTCCCTGAGTTCATCAGGAGCCGTCTTTATATATTTTATAATAGTATCATTGTTTTTTATTCGGTTCACTTTATGAATATATTTCTTATATATATCTCAGAAACTGATTTCGAAATACCTTAAATTTTTCGTCTTGAACCAATATCAACTGAAGTATTTTTGGAAATTAGGAAGTATTATGTGGTTGTTTTTTTGTAGTTTTAAACTCCCCAAATAGCGTGTTCTCATAACTCTGAATCTTGAACCTTCAGGGTTTGTGAAAACTATGATGCTTTCATGTCATTAAATTGATAACCTGTGTTGCACATTTTCGCAATATTGTGTAATGACAATCCATTAACAATAATGATGTTTGCCGTACTATTGACGTATTTGAACTGTAAGCTTAACTTCTTTGTAAGTTGAAATTAAGGTGAAATTGAGCGGTTGTTTCATCGTCGTACATATGGACTATGCAATGCCTACTTTGGTATGGGCAGTTGGATAGTATCACGAGTTGCTGGGTTTAAATTGTTGCTCAGAATCGGGTTTTGTAAATTCTTATTGTTAACTTACTTACTTGCACCTGTTACTCCTAACGGAGCATAGGCCGCCGACCAGAATTCTCCAACCCACTCTGTCCTGGGCCTTCCTTATAATTCCATCCAGTTCTTGTTCATTTTTCTCGTATCTGTCTCCATTCCCCGGCGTAATGTGTTCTTATTATTAAAGTTAACTACATTTACAGTAAGCGACTTGTTTAATGAAGAGAAAAAAAAGTTGAATTCATAGGTCGCTATAAGCTGATTGGCCGTTTTGCTCTAGGATGGGACTCCTGAACAGTGCGCATCCACGATCCCGCATGCGGGACTTGAACCCAGTCATGAGGTTAAGCGTCCGCGCGCGCGAGTGAAGGACAAAACGGCCGTTCAGTGCTACCAGGTTTTCAATGGTGGTTTAGCTTACAACGACTCATGAACTTAACGATTAAATTCACTACAATCTCCACAAACCCCATTCTGATCAAAAAGAAAAATAAACGAGTGAATTAGGAGTGAAAACAACTAATTTTGATGAATTTCTAAAAGTTATATGTTATATCGATGATCAACAACTTTGCTAGAGCTTTTTAGGTCCTTTTTGTATATGTGTGTTTGGTTAATTAGCTTAGATTACTGACCTTACATGAGTTAATCATATTTTCGAAGTTGTCTCCGTCTACTAGAATTTTTAAGGGATATGTAGTATCAATAATTCATCACTTAGAAAGTATTATTCATTGGTTTTCACACAAATTTAGATTGTTTTCACGAGTGTATTATTCGTTTTCTTGTAATGCTTTATCGTACAGTTGTAGCCTTCGGATTAGTAGTTCAGGTTTTTATTTTCAGTTTATTATGGGATTTCAACGTAACTGGACATCTGGTTCTTACTTTTTTGTACGTTCGTTGTTTAGCAAGTTATGCAATGTCTCTATTCACAGTGGATTTATTAGGTTTCCCATTAAAATTCTTTCTAAACCTTAAACTGAGTTTTTTCTCTTTAAATTCAGAAAGTTCCACTTACGAATTTTGTTGTTTTAAACAGTGTATAGGTCATATTTGTACTATTACATATAACACTGGTATGGTAGAAATACATAAATATGAAAAAAAGATCGTACAATATGTGAAGTAATGAAAATTTAGTGTATGTCAAGTAAGTTCTTAGGGTTTAAAAGGTCATCACTGGGTAAATCTGTGAGTAGAATCGATTTTGAAGCCGTGTAACTGAATGTTTATATCTATCCAATCAGTGCATCACTGAAACTGTTAACGAAAAGCGTGAATTACTCTGTAAAGCTTTAAGCTATCTCAGCCTCGTCGTGTGACTATTCGGATACTTTCGGTAACATATATTTTCTAAAACTAACAGTTAACACCATATAAGTCATCAGGTAAACACAACTGTTGCATATTTCAACCATCGTTCCTCTCTATTCAAGGCTTTCTTTACTCAAATACTCACAATTAGTGGCAGGATAGTTCCTCATGTATGTACAGTTCATACGTCGATGGATTGCCGTTAGTATTAAATTTTGCAAACTGAATAATTTTAGTATTTGTTTGAACACTTAACGTAACAGCTAATATTCAAGAGTCTAGACTAGAAAAATTATTGACATTTGTGGGCACCACTTTACCCATTCAATTGGAAATAAGTACTATATTTTTTGTGAGAAAAACGCGTCTGTATGATTATTTAGTGATAAGGTTACCAACATTTTTTTTCACCAAAATTAAAGAAGTATATTGCCTTTTTCTTTCAGATTTCTCGTTTACAAAGAGAATTAAGAGAATTGGAAGCTCAACGTGAAGATCAAGAAGCTCGTATTGCAACTTTGGAACAACGTTATCTTGCTACACAACGTGAAGCTACTGGCACGTTGGACAGACTTAGTCGAGCTCAGTCAGAATTGATTACACGTGAAATTGAATTAAAACAAGTAAGGGAGAACAAACAGTTTGTGAATATGCTAACTTAGTTTAATTTTTAACGATATTTTAGTTCATTGTCAATGATCTGGTTTGCGTTTTTTTAGTAGTTCTCGTTTTTACGAAAAGAGATTCCCAACTCCATGCTCTAACCTCCCTTTTTCGGGCTTGACACCGGCAGTATGCTTAAAAGGGCCTCTATGGCAGTTTGTTGTTGATATCACATTCTTCAAGTGTACAAGGAATGTGAAAAACAATTTGGAACTAGTATATAACTGTTTATTACTCTAAATACAATATCACCTTTATTCGTGTAACTTTTTTCGATCTCAACCTCAAACCATGATTACTCTAAATGTGATATTTATTTTGGTTTGGTCCTTATCTTCTCATCTGGTTCATTCTTTAAGTTATACGATTGAATAATGTTTTATTTTATTATTTTACTTTTTTCAAGTTTAGTTATTGTTCAGTTCCACTTAGGATGTAGTTAACGACACCCAAGTATGTATCATGTGATGACTTTGAGTGAATAGGATGTAGAATAAATTTTAAATGTAGTCGATATCAAAAACTTACAACGAATAACAAGTATTATGACGTGTTAAGAGGGTTATGAGTGGACTTGGAACTTGGTTTCCAACTGATTGGGATTTATCAGCATCTTATCGCCATTCTTAAGAGTCATTCTGCTTTCTGTTCGGTTTATATTCATGTCATTCTGTTTCACACTCTGAAATACCTCTAATCAGTCAAATAAACGAATAATATATTTAGCCAGGTGCTTTATAAAAAAATTTAGAAAATATGAATTTACTTGCTTCACTATAACTGATTTTTTAGCCGTTTATTTCTAACTAGAGTTTATTCTTACTGCTCTGAAACTTACTTAAATATTAGAAATTCTTAACGTGTCGGAATTGTGCCACTGTTGGCCTCATCGATCAATACTTTTTCTAGGTCTGTCGATCACTCATCTCTCTTGCTAGCGTATTCGCCGGACAATGATAAACTATTTTTATACTTTATAAGGCAATGTGAGGATCTGCCGATTGGTGGTCAGTCTTTTAAAGGTTAGGTGATTCGATAGCCACCTAAAGTAACGTATTTATGGCAAGATTATATAAAACATGAAAGGGGTAATAATGACGAACTCCAGTTATGATGAAGAAGTCATACCGCAGTTCTACACAAACTCCGACTTGGTCGATAATATTCGAGTGAGAATGTTTATAGATATATATTCGGGGAGAGAGATATAAGGAAATCTGCTTTCCCATAAAAAATTATTTTCTTCTACTGCTTGACATTTTCTATGTAGTTTCTATTTAATATTATCGGGTCGGATGAAATTTTTAGTTAAATGTTTGTAACAGTAGAACTGTTTTTTGTATTAAAACTATCTTGTCTCTGTGTTCATGAGAGAAGAAAAGTTTCAATACAGACTGTGAGTATAACATTTTTAACCTTTTTTTTAAGTTCCGGAAGAATGCAATGATAAACTTAAATTCATTGATTTTGACTGTAATGGTTGTTTAGGCACTAGTTATAGCTAATTCCTTTTTCTAATCGATGTATGGTATATTAACTAGCTAGGATAACATATTTCCAAAAAAGGATATTGTGCATGTATGACAAGATATATGGTCTGTTTATATTTTTATATAATTCTTTATCACGTGAATATGTCTGGTCTACTTTTTAGCTATATATCTATGAAATGATTTGTGGTTTAGTTTAACTGTACAACGTTTAGGTCGAATCCCATGATGCATGTCTTGAATTTGGTCCAATTAAACTGTTGTGAGCCATTAGTGTTTATTGTACTGTTTAGTCATGCAAATGAACCTGTATAAATGATAGTCTTAATATAGTTTCGTTGTAGATGATTTGTTGTGAGTGTCTTACCAAGACTTAAATCTTTCGTCTTTAAATTGTTTTCTGGTTAATTATTGAAAAATAGATTGATGATACGATAAATCTCATAGTGAATCTTTTGGTGGCGTTAGACCTTCTGAGCTGGATATTTCATATTGAGATGCTTTCATTAACTGCGTTTATTTCATAAGTGTTACGGTTTATCTCATAGGTATCAACTTATTTCGGTTTATTGATTTTGTTTGTGACCGGTTGTTCCTAGAAGTTTTGTTATCTTCGTGCATATTTGCATTCTTATTGGCTATTTTCTTGACTTTTACCTTACATGGTAATAGATCATATCAATATCAATGTATCTATTTATTGCAGAATAATCTGACTGCCAAGCCTTCTAAGAGTTGATAATAGTATTTCCAGATTACCCTCAAATCTTAATTTTAACATTTTCTCTGTCGAATTCTTGCTTATCATTTGTCCACATTTATTGACCTTTTACATTATCACGTCATTAATCTGATGAATAGTGTATACTCAGTCATTCAGTCAGTCATAATCAATGAAGTGCCTTAAACAAGTTTGAGTCGGCCCAAGTTTCCACAGTACATTAGCACGACTGGGTGAAATTAACATTATGGATAGTAAATGAATTGAAATAATTTGGTGGCTATGGTAGCGAGAGAGATTCGTCACTGAGATTGTGGTTTTGAAAAATCGGGATGAAAAGGTATGTATCAAGGGATTATAGAACTGTGGATTTAGAGAATGGTAGAAATTAAATGAATTTACGTATGACAATGGCTGCTACCTTAACGTGCTGGTCAGTCTTGGATATCGTGATGAGTCAATTGACCTATATTACCTGGAACATTCGTTCCTCTAAGTCTTAACGTGATAAGCAGGTTGGTTAATGAGAAATAGAGTCGAAAACATAAGAGTCGCAGCATCTCCATGTACTCTGCTTTCTGACAACAAGTGAAGTGGGCTTAGAATAGATCGACCCTAAAGACAGTACACTATACGTTACTCCATAGATTCTCAACTGTCGTTTGGGCACTTTATCCACTCTCCTACGTCTTTAAAATCACTTCATGATTCTTTTTTAACGTACCTCAAGATTAAGTATCTTTCAACTGTATGTACAAACTCAAAAGGACAACTGGCCTCATACCCTTAACGTTACTTGAAAATTCTTCGTTCACAATCAAATCATATCTTCATTGTTTATAGTGTACACTGTTGTGGAGCGTACTAATTGATCATAATTGAGTAATCAAAACTGAGCGAATGGGTAAGTGAGCGAGCAAGAGAGAGAAAAAGCTACTGTACAATTTCTTAATTGACAAATCTAATAATTTCGTCATCATTTACTGTATAGTTGTCATAGCAATATCTTTTCATTGCTATAACCATTCTATGTTTATTCTTTTTCTATCACTTCAATTATACAATAATAATAAAGGCAAAAGATCATGCAAATCATTTGGTTAGCGAATTAGAAACAGTACAAAACGAATTAGCCATTGTCAAAGTGAATACAATGCAACAAAATGAAAAAGTAAATACACCTACAACAACATCAACTATAATGCATACAGCTATGGAAAATGGTGGTGAAAATGAAACTATTTCTAATGATGAAAAAACTATTAAAAACGACAAAAGTTCTCATTTAATTAATGATAATAACAGTAACAACAATAATCCTAACGTAACAGTTGTTGATGAATTACGTGTACAATTATCTACAGCTGAAGAACGTATTAAAGATATGGAAGTTGAAATGAATGAAATCCAGTCAGAATTACAAAGAGCTAGACAACGTGAACAATTAAATGAGGATCATAGTTCACGTTTAACTGCGACGGTATGTTTGAATTTATTATAACATATATAGGAATCATGGTATAGATTTAATTTCAACCATTTATATACCCTACATAATTGGATCTACTGGACTATCAAGTCTATTAATGATATTTTCATTTTTAACCGATCGAACTAATGATTATCTTCTCCTTAATTAATAACACCAATAACCATGAACAGTGATTAAAGATTCAAACACCAATTAACTCACACAATTTCTTTAGTCTCTAGTAGCCAATCAGAACACTAAGATACCAAACAGATTTACCTCTTATTACTGTGTATATTGTCATCTTGAGTGAAAAATCTTTAAGGATTACATACATCATTTAAATGATCACAAGTTACTACAAACAAGAAAAATCCTAATTTGTGCATAAAAATACTGAGCATTAGATGTGTGGTATATGCTACTTATGTTTACAGATATTAGTGGTATGTATCATCAGTAACAAGTGGAATGCCTAGGAATCAGAGAGCAATCTTAATAATAACAGAACTGAAATAATCATGCAGCATGTAAAAGACAACTGAAGGAAGTTGTGCAAATAATGAATTTAATGTATAATTTTTATACTTTACGAAAGCACTCGATAATTTTGGATTAAACAATTAATTGGTTATTTCCGCCTAAGTTCACATTCACCACAAATGTATAATTATTTAACCATAATTAGGAAACAGTAAAACATAAAACAACATTGAATAATTGAAATAAAAGCCTACAATAAAGGAAATATAATAATACCTCAAACTACGTATTTTATAAAAACATACGCCATACATATATTAGCACCGCTTACTACCAAGACGAGATGGTTTGAAACGATTCAAAGAATAGATATAACGTTACTTTATAAATAATGGAAATTATTAATCTGTTATAAAAGATCTACAATGTTTGAAAAAAATGTAAGGCACGCCTTTTATTAGCGATTTTAATGAAGTAACCCTTTATTTATCTGAAAAATCGCTTGTAAGAAAATTTAAGGTTGGAGATATATCACTTACTATAATTTCCTCAGAATTTTTTGTATTCTGATTGTTTTTTATATATAATTTGTTTTATCTTTTAAAAGGTTGACAAATTATTATTGGAATCTAATGAACGATTACAGACGCATTTACGTGAAAAAATGGCAGCATTAGAAGAGAAAAATCAATTACATACAGAGTTAGATCGTCTTAGACGTCTTCTAGAAACAAGTCAAACAGAACGAGATCGAGCTCTAGCCGATATGGAACGATTAAGACGTAGTTCCGCTACAACAACGCCAACCGCACTTGCTTTACAAGGTACAGATTAACTATCACGCTTACGTCATGATTATTTTAGTTATTGCTGATAACTAACATTAGACAGTGAACTTAGTTTTATCAATTATGTAACAAGAAAAAAAAGTAGATCGTACCACTATTCACGTTCGTCTTTCTAAGATTGGATCAATGATTTAAAAAGTGGTTTCGTGATACAATTTTCCCAAGTCACTAAGTTTGCAATTTTTTCAAGCATCTCTGGTAGTAAGATAGAGAATTATGGAACTGAAATAATTGATCGTTTGAGAGAAAAAACAGTAAAAGAAATGTACACCACATGATTATTTTTTGGTACTGTGGAGTATTAGAGAAATCATATCGACATCAATCTCCATACTGAGAGAGCGATGGGATTATGCCATATTGATCTTAATAGAGTTTCATTAACCCTAATAAGGAATTTAGAAAAATACAAGATGGAAATATGTGTTATTGTGTAAAGACACATCAAAATAGTTAAACTTGGAGAAATTATTTGAAAACTTCTAGTTTTATCCTGCTACTAAAATATGAATATGCAAATGAAATTTTTCTTATTGTATCACTCGGTGATTTTACTTTACCAATAATAAAGTTCTTTTCATTGGTTTAATCTCCAGGTAGTATTCATCACAGGTTGATCTTATTTTGCGTACCATTGAAAACCAGACAAAAGTGAATATGTCTTGTTTTATTATGGAACTCCTCAGCGGTGTCCACCTACGAAATCACTAGGGATCGGACACAGGATCTTCAGATATTTTTCTGTCAACGCTTAGTCATTAGAACCATTGGGTCAAGATCCAGCTATGCCGTTTCAATTTCAGTCAACTTGTTATTTAACTTGATGGTTCCCCAATACTCTTGAAAATAACTGTCTATCTCTCGACCTAACTGAACTCTACAAATTGAAATATCTCACTAGGAATTCAGGACATCTTAGAGTCCCGTACTACGACAAAATAGATGTCCAATGAACCTTAATTTTTTACGATAACCTAAATGTGGTCGACTTTTGATGAATACTATTTATAAATTAAATCAATCTCCACAAAATCCTTTCGAATAAATCGGTTTTATTGATGTTATTTTCTTTTCAATGTCAGGTGACTCGTATTCCAGTGGTTCTCATAGTCTTCGTAGAATGCCACGCAATGCTTCCAGCAGTAGAACAGATCAAGTATGTCATTGTTTTATTTTTCGAATATTATGTACAGAACATCAAATATGCAATTCAACAGCATTTATCTTTTTTAATGGTTCTATTTTATCTAATTATCAGTAATAATAAACTTACAATGATTTCCAAAATTAGGTTTTCGACGTTTATTATTGCCTTTTAATCACTGGTTATTGACAAAATCGATTAAGTTTTCAGGTTTAAACTATAATATGTCATCATCTGGAAGCTGATTTTGTTTACTTGATAAAATCATGTATAGAACACAAACTTTCACTTAACTCGATTAGCAAGAATGTTTTACGTTAGAGAACTGAGTAATAGCGTCTTCAAAATCAAATAAAAAATATGAGAGAACACAAATTTTAGAGATAATTTTTTTTGTTATCTATATTTAGTTAAGAAACATATATCCAATACATTTTACTCATCAACACTAAAGAAACGACTTATCAAATAGTTTTCGATATCATGAAATGTTTATGTCAATCTCTATTGTGATTATGACTGACTGTAAAAGTTTGAATACTAAATACACATAGTATTTTAGTCAAGTAGCATTGTAATCTATGGCAGAATATATGTATATTCTTTTGTTTAATACATTTTGTGATATTTTAAAATCATCTTTCGTAAGTTCTTTGTAGCATTTTAACTCACAAAATGTGGATGTTCTATGCTTTTTATTATTAGAGATGAGATTTTAGTGTTTATAATATAAATAACGGGGACTAAATAGGTACTTTGCATATTAAAGAATTGTATGCATTTATTAATTCTATATTTGAAAATTCTACCATTTTCGTGTGGGTGGAATTCTGGCGAAATTTATTTTATTACATTTGAGATCTAATTCATTGGAATTGTGGTTGTTTTTAATTAGAAAATAATTATATTCTTTCTATGAAACTAAGCATTGTACTCATCATACATTTTTTGTATGCATTTTATGTACTATTCTAATACTATTAAACATCTATGTTTTTAGTCAATATATTGTCATATATTTATATAGTAGTTATTTACGAATATCGTTATTTTATTGTTTTATAAGCGTCACAAACTGTGGTTGAATAAATTACCATCCGTACTTTGAATAAGTGTGATTTTCAATACTATATTTTTAAACAGTTGTCAGCTATAATGATTCATAAGTATATTACATTTTGATACTTTAATTGCTCTCATGATATTAAGCATGAAGGTTGGAAAGAGGTTTAATTTTTATGCTTATTGTTATCTTTACTATTAGATCAGATAGGCTAGCTATTTAATGGATTAGTAACTGGATGTAATTTTGTTACATATGATAAGTTAAACTATATTATCTTCGTATTTGGACGGTTATATTGTGGTGCTTGAGTAGAAATCAAATCTTTATATACTGACTAACAGTAAAGTCTTAAATCCATTGAGTTATAATATTGTAGTATTCACTTCAAACTATTTTCGTTTCAGACGTCTGTATAATTCTTTCAAAATTAAAGCCATTTCTTGATCAATTATCTGTCGATTGTATAACCTTTCACTCCTAGAAATGAATCTATTTTCTAGAATACATACAACTGAAGACAATCGGATAGAGCCACATCAATTACTGAAGCATTGACGCATTGCTCAGTTTAGTTACATCTAGTTTAAATCGTGGAAAAAATAAGTTGCAATACCATTATAATGAATCAAACTAGTTGTCGATTACTTTTTCATATTTATCATTCTGTATTTAGTCACATGTATGTTTCGTTTTTCTAAGTTAATTGGTAAATGATCTTTATCTACACTAATTATGTTTATTGTATGAACCTCTTATCTGCTAGTTGTAGGCTTATGGAAAATCGTGTTGCCCTTAGGAATTCAGGTAGAAACTGTAGCCCTCTAGGTTGTGTGGTTCTTGACATTTTATCGATGCTTTACACACTTTAGAAAGCTAACTTTAACATCTCTGACTATAAAGTCGTGTGATTCCTCTTTGTAACGCAATTACGGTGTGTTGCTTGACAGGTTTTCTTGCTATTTAGCTATTTCCACTGAAATTCTAATGTACAATAACGCGATAATGGTGCATTAAATTAATTAATGAATAATCCATTATTTTACTAGTATAGTACAATTATCATTATGAATTTAATTGTCATGTGATACGCATTATTGATAGTAAATGTGTTTCCAGAGGAATGAGAAAATTCATTATCAATTATTTTTATTGAACTATGTCTAATAGGCGTATTTGATTGGCATATATTTTTAAATAATCTAACTGACAATGGGTATTAATGAATAGGTTCGTAGAGATTCTTAAATTCTATAGTTTACATCACAAACTGGTCGTAGTTAGAGAACTACTGAGAACCAGGAAGCCTTTGACGACTGTTTCGCTCCAGCACGAGGCTCCTCAGCAGTGTGTTTTCACGATCTCACCAAGAATCGAACCCAGGACCTCGAGGTATCGCGGAGAGCACTAATTTTATAAACCATTAGTTTGACACACAATAGTTTACATTTCTCACTTCAGTCAATTCACAATATTTCGTGACTAGGAATAATCTTTTCCTTCGTATATTTTGACAATTAATAAGAATATTTGGAAGAAAGGTAAATTTCATGATTAAATGCAAAATTGTAGACTTTTGATTTTTATACACTCGTAATCTACAGATAAATTCGGGCGGTCTATAAGAAAAAAAATGCTATTGAGAACAACAATAGTCACAGCAAAATAAATCATGAATTCTCATTTATCTTTCAAATACTTACAACCTAAGCACAAAATAGTATAAATCATTAAAAATAAAACAAATTTACACTTATTTTGTATCAAATATATAGCGGTTAAATTACATTAGAACTATAGAGAATTTTGGATAATGGAAACTAGTTATTGAGAGATTTAAAAAAAAATGTTGTTCGTTCGATTTTTAATCTAAAAAATTACTAGATAAAAATTAAACCATAACATTGAATCAAAATTTTAGATACAACAGAATAATCTCATAGGCTATGTAATAATAAATGAGAGAAACAATATAAACGTGAAGAGTAAAACTTAGATATAAAACAAAAGAGAATAGAGAAAATTAGAATTTAAGGCATGTAATAAAAGAGGTTGGTATTTAGCTAATCCGAAAGTCCAGTGGATTTAATGTTACTGTTGATACATTCAAAATACAAGTTGACTCAAGAAATACTTATATTTTCAATTAGTTCTTTATCAAAACAGTAGTAAATGTAGGTTTTTACGTTTAAGTATAAAATCTATATCAATTAAATATTTTTAAGCGGAGATGAATGGTGGCTAACAGGGGACGTTTGTTTCGTTCTATTTGGGTCTTACCAGTTTGGTGTACCAGCATCCTAGATGTTCACTCCGGGACTCAAACCCAGGTCCGTTGACTTCAAACGTTATTGTGTGACTCACTTAGCTACTAACTCTAGAAAACCACTGGCTTATGAGATGGGATAAATTGTTTATTTGAATCCTCTTATTGATGCTTGGTACTGAGATTGATCGGTCTCTTATTGGCATATGTTCACCCTATATAGATTGTCTCGATATTTCCATTAAATCCTAAGAATTTTTAGGCAGAGGTGATTCGCACAGGATGCACATACGTGAATTAGAGACGGATCAATCGCAGTCCTAAACATCAATATGAAGATCCAAATAACCAGCATAAATAAAATAAATAGTGAATTGTCAATTCAACAACATGGTAATAAGCTAGCAACCTGAGGTTTGCAAAATTAAACCTTAGATGAAATTTCATAGTCAGTTAATTATCACAACTGAATGCATAAGATTTAGACTGACTACAGTGTTCTTTTTCTATTAATACACTAGGTGTAAGTCTTGTAGTCAAAATGTTAGTAAATTCGAGGTTGTTTACTTATTGTTTATCGTAAAAGACATTCAAACATCATCAACATCCTTTCCACTATCAAGTGGTGACAAGGGATTGGTTGTATCACTGAAAGCATACTGTCCTTTCAGTGACCACGTTTTTGGAAATTTTCTTGTAGATTTTGATATTAATACTTCTTCTTGATCTTTCAATATATTTGTTTCGCCCCGAACATGTAACCTGGCAGACAAGTTGAAGGTAACACAATGCAAAAAATGGCCGTATGTGACTGTCTAAACGAGCATAGATAGACTAGCTTTGCCGGTTAAATTTCTGTTTATTTGTGTTAGGTTATGTTATGTTTACTAATGATTAAAATAAATTTCAGGCTTTCATCTTTAGTGTTCACTCTCTAAAAGCGGTCAAAGTTCGGATTTAAAAAGGTCACTTAATTTAATGATCTTAAGCTACAGTAGATAATGTTGTTTAGTTATAATATATACACAGTGAATCTATTAATTGTATATTAATTAGTCAAATTTGTGTACTTCGAGATTTCTAAATTTGTTTTTAATCTATGATAAACTCTCCTTCACAAAACGAGGATATTTCACAAGTTAAGAATTATATTTGGGATCGAGAGTTCTAACATTTTAAAAATTAGATTTTGCACTTGCATCGATATGGATCATTTAAACGGCTTTTTTGTCAGCTTGATTTACAAGCAGATCACCGTTAATTTTCGTCATTGTTCCTATACTCAGACGTATAAAATGCAAAATGCTTTCTTAATAAATCAATGTAGTATTTAGCATATTTAACGAGCTGTAAGGATTTATATTTTTCTTGTTGACGTTCTCGATTGAGTTTGTTCAATCCTTGTTGGTGTATGGGCTTTTTTAAACCAGGTATGTCAATATTATCAGTATGATGAAGGCTTCGATAAATGTTTAGTAAACTTTAGTTTGAATAATACCCCCGTAATCACTTCAACTTCATTTGTGTTACGTTGGCAGTTCTAGACAATTGTTCGAATAATTTTTCTGAAAGTGGAAAAAGACTGAAAATACTTCATGCAATGAATCCCCAGTGGGAAATTATCAGAGATTTCTAGCAATATAATGGATTGTATGTTACCTTATTTGTTATCAGATCAAATGT